GTTCTTTAAAAAATTTGCTGTAACAAAGAACTAATTATGGACTCTACACTTTGTTTACCTTCTTCTAAAGAAGAGGTAGAGGAATTAATAGAAAAAGCAAAAGATTGGGCGCTTATGCATGGAATGTGTATGAGATCAAAACAAAATTTTAACAAAAATACTCTCCAATTTACTCCTTTTGTTCTCTTGCCTTCTCCATTTCCAAGAAAAGAATTTGAAAATGCATGTCAGATTCAAATAATACTAAATATACTTATACACAAAGTTGCACAAGATTACTATTTTTTGAAAGAAACTTTAGAAGAAACAATAAAAGTTGATGATTTTATTAAAAACTTATTTGAAATTTGTAAAATTATGAAGAGGGAAGGAGGATCAGCACAAAAAATATCTCTTGGTATATTGCGTTCAGACTTAATGTTGGATACAACTTGTCCGAAAAAAGGTTCAAATGAAATATCTTTACCATATTGTTGCTGGAAACAAGTTGAAATAAATACAATTGCTTCTGGGTTTGGTTGGTTAGGACCTGTTTCAACAGAATTACATAAATTTGTGTTGAGAGAACTTGGTTATAACAAAGAAACAGAAAATCTTTCAGAAAATAATGCATTACAAGTAATATGTTCCACTATAGTTGAAGCATGGAAGATATATGGGAATCAACAGTATGTTCATAATAATTGTTTTTTCAACTTTAATTCTTTACAGAGCAGTAATTTTATTTGTTATTGAAGATATTACATATAATATATGTGACCAACGTTTCCATGAATTTGAAATCAAAAAGCAAAATCCAGATATTAAAATCATTCGCAGAAACTTAACACAGTTAGCAACTACTGCAAAATTGGGTAGTAAAAAAGAATTGATAGTAGATAACTATGTTGTAGCCATAGTATATTATAGATGTGGATATGAACCTGAACAATACCATTCGCAGAAAGAATGGGATGTAAGATTATTAATAGAGAGATCATTAGCAATTAAATGTCCTACTA